ACACACACACACACACACACACACACACACACACACACACACACACAAAATACCTCTCTTGCTTGCTCTCTTTCTCTCTCCATCCCCATTCTTGCTAAGTAGCTCATGGTACACCAGGACAAACCTTCAAAGTTTTATTAGGAAATCCCTTCAAAGTCTTTGGACCATAACTCTCTTCTTCCAAATCCTCCAAAGCAGAGTTATTCCAGGTGACGCTGAGTTCTGTGCTGAGCAATGAAAATCATGCCTCTTAACACTATCCCATGATCACAAAAGGGAGTTTATCTCAGAACACATGACCAAAGAAATCAGAATAAGCCCCAGAAATCTATAGCCCAAAGAGGGGGAAAGTGAATAAGGTGAAAGAATGCCCATAGCTCACATTTATTGACGTGCTTTCTATTTTAGAAGAATAGATTAACTCAGAGTTATCTACTCCATCCTTCAGAGGAGAGTAGTATTATGTATCATTTCAACAAACTTGCCAGCCCATTCTGTCTTTTGATACCCAAGCAGAGACCCCTCCACTGTTCATCTTCATCAGCCCAACAAAGGCACCCTCGCTGAGCTGCGGCCGGGATCCTTATGAGAGGGGTTTCTGCCTGCCCTGCCCGTGGTTTCACCCAGTTGTTTCACGTGCCAAGCATGCCAGAGTCGGGCACCTGGCACTTTCAGGCCTGAGGTAAAATTGAAACAGAAGTGATTTGGAAACTGCTCTGGTTTTGTCCCTCCAACTTTGGCTGTTCAGTTACTCTGTACCGAGACTAGCTCTGGGCAAGACTGCAAAGTGAGCAAAACTGGTTTTGTCCTTGCCACCTGCTGTAGCCTCCTCCTACCTACTTTCAGTATCTAATCTCCCACCCCATCCCCCCGCATGCCCCTCCCTGCCCAGGGCCCCGTCCTCTGGGTGGGCCACCATGTGTGCTGGTGCTCAGCTGAGGTGGGAGTGGTCTCCAAATCAAGCATTTCCTGTGTTCACTCTCATCACCCTTGCGTTCTGATTCCGCAGATCTGGGATGGGGCTCACATCTCTGCTCCCACGGCCTCCACCCTGCCCCCAATGTAGAGCTACTGCTCTAGTCCCGGCCTTGCAGTGGAATCAGCCGCAGTGCTTGTAAAATGATAGGTTCCCAGGCCCCACTCCAGACCTTCTGATTTGGACTCTTCGGGGGTGGGAACCCCTTCTCTTATTCTCAAAGAGGCCGTTTGGCAAAATGAAAAGAACACTCAGCACTCAACTCAGAAAATCTGTTTGCATTGAGAGATCTGGTTTTGATCTGAGAAAAATCATCAGTCCCTCTTGGCATAACTCTCAGTGTGTCTTTGGGGTATGAATGAGAGTGTGCACATGACAGCAATATGTAATGTGCTAGGTAATTAGAATAGATAACCGTTTTTGTTATGGTTCCTGATTTCCTCCACAACAACTTAATTATCATACCCACATCTTCTTATTCTTTCTCTCTACTAAATGATAGAGCTTTTAACCTGCTACATTGATCGCAGTCCTGTCTGCACTTTAAAATTATCTGAAGAGCTCTTAAGCAATACTGATATGCAAGCCCCACACCCTTAGATTTTCAGCGGTTCTGGGGTAGAGCCCAGGTATCCATATTTTTTTAAAGTTTCCCTTCACCGCAGGAGATTGTAATGTGCACCGAGGGTTGAAAACTGCTATGATAAATGAATTCATATTAATGGGTGCTAAAACCTTATCTACTCCTACTTCAAATATCTTTATTTGCATTTTGACCATGATTTGGTGTAAGCATACTGCGTCATTCATTTATTTACTCAATTGCTTAATATATATTTCTTGAGCACCTACTGTGTTTCTGGCATTGGGGGTAAAAAGGACTAACAAGACAGGTCCCTTCTAAAACCCCTACAACTGTATGAAATATGTTATGTGTGAGTGTGTGAATATGTTAGCAAACTTTTTTCTGAGGAAGTCATCCACGACTTGTTCAATTCCTCAGTGAGGATCGGTGACTACCCCTAAAAGGTTCAGAATCACACTTGTAGGAGAACCACGCACCCTCTCTGTCCTTCTAGTTAGCAGTGAAATTCAGAAGTGGTGTGTCCTGCCCTTTAATCTGCAAAGAAGACTAAGGGTAATTCCAAATGTCAGCTGAAACCATGATTACACTTGCCTCCTTTAGCCTTCTGGTTCATTTATAGCACAGGACCAGCATTGTGCTCCTTTTACAGTTTTTCCACATGAATGAGTCTATTTCCCGTTGTCATTTATTCCTTTCCCCAAACTTCCTGCTTTTCTCTTGGACCATATGAGCCCATATTTAAAGCTATAGCACTTTAAAATAATAAAGTCTCCGTATTTCACCCAGATAACCAGGCAGGAAAGATTGGAAACATTAGGCCCATGAAGTGATTTGGGGTTGGGCTTCTGCCCCATCTCTCAGGGGCTTTGGTAGCTGGTGATGCCCTCCTGTGGGCCTGTTGCCCTCATTCACCTCCCCTGTCTGCCCAGGAGACCCTGTAGAAGTTCCATCCCCAGTCTTTTTCTTCCTCTCTTCCTCAGAAAGCCCACTGTATCAACTATCATTCTATTCAGGAGATTCTCAAACCTGACCTCTCTCTGAAACTCTAGACTTACATTTCTAGCTCTCTTGGGCATCTCCACATCATTTCCCAGACACTTCAAACTGGACATGTCCAAACTTAACCCATGGTCTTCCCTTCCCATCACATTCTCGTCCTCATAGTAGCCCAAGCCAAAGGGCTTTGCATGGTCCACACTCCTTCCTTATCACCCTTTGTATCTAGTTGGTTATCAAGACCCCTCAATTCTACCTCCTCAGCTCTCACATCTCTGTCACCTCCTTTCTATCCCCACTGTACAGGTCAGGGTCACAGCAGGAAACATAGCCCAGTCATGATGGGATAAATTGGGCAGAAGTTCCTGAAGAGGGTATTCGAATACCACAGCAGGTTGCCATTAGGGCATCTGGGCCTAAAAGGGCATGGGAAGGGGTGGTTACTAAGGCACAGCAAAAGATGGAGCTGTAGGGGAGGTACTAGATGGGCAACTCAGGACAGTAGGTGTAGCCTTCGATGGAATGACCACACCGTGGCCCGGCCGAGAGAGAACTGAACGATAAACACCCTGATCTCTGTCCTCCTACACCCATCTCCTGTCAGTGTCACTCATTGGCCAAACCCAGCCAGAAGCCATAGGGCAAGGGAGCCCATCTGATGCAATTCATACAGGCTAGAGGGAAGAGCAGGATGGAAAAAGATGGGAGAGTAAACCCAGAAGAACAAATGAAGGCAATTTTGCACACCCACTGTCACTCTCTTAGATCAAGCTTCTACCATCTCTCATCTGAACAGTTTCAGGATCTGTATTCCTACTTTCAGCCCTTTCCTTGTCCCTTCTGTTCTCACATTGCCACCAAGGGTTCTTTCTACAAATTCCAGAGGAATGTATGAACACAATTGTTGTTCCACCAAAACAGTTATTATGGTCACTGTTGGGCCTTGGCTCAAAAACCTTTAGCGAGTTCCATTTTTTGGTACAGAACAAACTCCCTGGGCTGGCATTGGGGGTAAAAAGGACTAACAAGACAGGTCCCTTCTAAAACCCCTACAACTGTATGAAATATGCTATGTGTGAGTGTGTGAATATGTTAGCGAACTTTTTTCTGAGGAAATCATCCACGACTTTCTTCAATTCCCGAGTGAGGATTGGTGACTACCCCTAAAAGGTTGTAAACAAATACCCCGTACCCCCCACCCACTCCCTGACCTCTCCTCTTCAGCCCATATAGGCTTTACTCCAATCACACCGAAATATGAATGATCCCTTCAATACATCACAGAGATTCATTCTGTCTCCACCTTAGTCACCCTCTTCTCTTTTGGTGAAACCCTTCTTGCACTTCTCACGTCATCCCTTCCACCTGAAGAATTTCTGCTTATTCTTTCTTATTCCTGAAGCCCCAACTGAATGCCGCCTTCTTTGTTGAGCTCCCTTTCAGAATTGTTCCCTCTGAGTTGCCCATCTAGTACTTTCTTATGTCTAGGACTGGTGTTGCAAGCAGTGGGATGGCTGATTCTTCCCTTCTAGACTATGTGCTTAAGGGCAATGTGCTTTATTCGTGTAGGTGCCTCTCAAGACCCAGAATAGATCTTTGTGAGTCTTAGTTCCTCAAAGAGGTGTTCACTGAATTCAGTCCAATAAATTTACCCATCTCAAATCAACGAGATTGATGGCTTATCGGGTTCTCTTTGTAGAACACCATTTGTTAGCTTAACTGAGACTTGCAGGAGAGTAATGCCTTAATACCAGGGAGATCTTTCTAATGGTAGGAATTCTAGGATAGATATGATGGCAGGTCAATGAGGGGGGCAGGTATCAACTGCCCCTCAAATCTCACCACTAGCTCCCTCCTCTGCTTACTAGGAAATGTGTTTCTTTGGAATCTTCCTTAGAAATACTTTTTTTCTTTCAGTGCATTTTTCAAGGGAGGGTAGAAAGAAAAGAACTGCACTGACATAAAACAACTATTTCATGTTTGTTCATTCAGTGTGTGGTTATGTGGTTAAGGAAATTAAACATGCGCACGCATACACACACACACATACACCCTTCAATTTCTTTATAACCTTTAAGCCTTTAGTGCT